AAATTTTGAGATAACTAAAAGCATGCGCATTAGAAGAGACATTGTAACAAAGAGAAGGAGATTTTTTTTCCCCCCTGGAACTAATGGAACTACAACAGTTTAAATTAGAACACAAGAGCGTGATGTAATCCTTTAAAAGGAAGCATTCCCTGGGTCCATTCCAGATGCATGCCTCAGAAGGATATGGCGACACGAAAGTCTGTGAAAGGTAACAACAAAGGCACACTCTCCCTATCCTGTTTCTTAATTAAGCCGTGTACCATAGTGGAAGACAGGCAGAACACTCTTTGTCCCAGTCCTTATGGTGGACTGAAATGGATTCAGGAATCCCTTGAACTTGCCCCAGAAGGAATATTAAAGACTTCTAGAAAGTCATCTAGTAAAGAAAGGTTTTTGAAAAATCTTTGTAAAGTTTTAGGCAGAGTGGAGTCAACTTCTATTGTAAGCCATAAAGGCATAACGGTGATAGATTCAAAGCACAATCCTGTGACAGTTAGCCATGGAGCCTACTGTGGTTAAAGGTTCTAAAGCTGTCATTCAGACAACCACTTCAGTTTAAAACTCAGCATTCCTTTCTCTTTTTTTTTTTTTGGGGGGGGGGGGTTATTTAATGAAAAATATGAGCAGTAGCCATGGAAACTTACTTAGTCAGTGCTGTCTTGTAATTAAAAAAAGCTAGGAATGTAATTGATTAATTTTAAACAGAACCAGACTATGTATTGTCGAAGGCTTTCATGGCTGGAATCACTAGGTTCTTGTGGGTTTTTTCGGGCTATGTTCTAGAGGCATTTCTCCTGACGTTTCGCCTGCATCTATGGCAAGCATCTTCAGAGGTAGTGAGGTCTGTTGGAATTAGGACAATGGGTTTATATATCTGTGGAATGGCTGATTAACCAGACTGTTTTAAATGTGAGTTTTATGTGCATTGAGTCATAAACAGATTTGCAAGTTCCTTTTTCTTTCTTTCTCTTGCCAACTGGCATGTCATGTAATAATAATATTCGTACTGTTCCATTATCTGGGCAGACATAACACACCTATGTCCATCTACTTCCACCTTTAGAAGCATAGCTCTAGAACTTCATCTGTTGTAATTTAGTGAAGCCCCAGTACTCTTTGGCAGAGAAGGCTAAAAACCTTGTAAAACTACCATTTCCAGGATTCTATTGCATTGAGGCATGGCAGTTGAAGAGGTGTCAAACTAGATTAACTCCGCAATGTAGACGAGTAGGCTAGATTGAGACTTTTGGAGCACCTAAAAGATTTGGGTGCCCCTACATATATGCAATTGAAAACTTAAGCCATCAATAAAATTTTATTTTTCAAAATGAAACACACCTTACTGTAAGATGGAAAAATAATGTTTATTTCTGTATACTTCCACTTTTTTATATTTCAAAGGTTTTCTCCTATTGTTGTTAACTGCCAAGTCTTTTATTGTGAGAGTCCATTTTTGTGGATCTTGGTTCAAGGGCACAATTTGTAGTTTTGCACCTTTTATTTATTTCATATCAAAGGTAAAAAGATAAAGGTTTTCCCCTGATGTTAAGTCTAGTCGTGTCCGACTCTAGAGGTTGGTACTCATTTCCATTTCTATGCCAAAGAGTAGGCATTGTCCATAGACACCTTCAAGCTCATTTGGCCAGCATGACTGCGTGGAGTGCCGTTACCTTCCCGCAGAAGCGGAACCTATTGATCTACTCACATTTGCATGTTGTTGACCTGCTAGGTTGGCAGAAGTTGGGGCTAACAATGGGAGCTCACCCAACTCTTTGGATTCAAACCGCTGACTTTTTAATCAGCAAGTTCAGCAGCTCAGTAGTTTAACCCACTATGCCACTGGGGGCTAATTTCATTTCAAAAGCATTGCATAAATTAGTATAAAATTGATAAAAATAGAAGGAACACAAGTGGCTAAATATCCTTTGACCAAAAGCGGGCAACAGCGACCACATTGTCTGTTCTGCTCCACAGTTGCACAAGGTGGAGGATTCTTTTTAGGTAGTGCCATTTTGCCAGGTTGTCTTTTGATCTGCCCACTTCGCTTCTGAACCCATTCCTGGTTTGTCCCTAGAGGCAGACCCTCGTGGGTGGCCATCCAGTTGGGATTTCCTGGTTTAGCTGCCCAGAGGGAGACTCTTGCTGTTGCTGCGGGGACATTAAAAAGAGTCCCCAAAAGCTTTTCCTTGATTTGAGTCTACTGGGAGGAGGCTGATAGCCATGCAGTGGATGGCTTTCAGTGTTCAACCTTATTTCTCTCATTATTATTTGTCGTGTCATCAGCAACCATTGTATTACAATTCTAACAGAGCAAAACAAACACAGAGATTAGAAAGAAAAGAAAAAAGGAAAAAAACCACACAGATTTTGCAAATTTGGTATTTGGTTAAATGTCCTTTGACCAGTATCTGGCCACCTGGAGTGCCTCCGGGGTTGCCGCAAGAAGGTCCTCCACTGTGCATGTGGCAGGGCTCAGGGTGCATTGCAGCAGGTGGTCAGTGGTTTGCTCTTCTCCGCACTCGCATGCCGAGGATTCCACCCTGTAGCCCCATTTCTGAAGGTTGGCTCTGCATCTCGTGGTGCCAGAGCGCAGTCTGTTCAGCGCCTTCCAAGTCGCCCAATCTTCTGTGTGCCCAGGGGGGAGTCTCTCATCTGGTATCACCCATGATTGAGGTGCTGGGTTTGGGCCTGCCACTTTTGGACTCTCGCTTGCTGGGGTGTTCCAGCGAGTGTCTCTGTAGATCTAGAAAACTATGTCTAGATTTAAGTGCTGGCTGATACCCAAACAGGGGATGGGCTGGAGATGTCTCTGCCTTGGTCCTTTCACTATTGGCTGCTACTTCCCGGCGGATGTCAGGTGGTGCAATACCGGCTAAGCAGTGTAATTTCTCCAGTGGTGTAGGGCGCAGACACCTGATAATGCGGCATGTCTCATTAAGAGCCACATCTACTGTTTTAGTGTGGTGAGATGTGTTCCACACTGGGCATGCATACTCAGCAGCAGAGTAGCATAGCGCAAGGGCAGATGTCTTCACTGTGTCTGGTTGTGATCCCCAAGTTGTGCCAGTCAGCTTTCGTATGATATTGTTTCTAGCACCCACTTTTTGCTTGATGTTCAGGCAGTGCTTCTTGTAGGTCAGAGCACGGTCCAGAGTGACTCCCAGGTATTTGGGTGCGCTGCAATGCTCCAGTGGGATTCCTTCCCAGGTAATCCTCAGAGCTCGGGATGCTTGTCTGTTCTTAAGGTGAAAGGCGCATGTCTGTGTTTTAGATGGATTAGGGATCAGTTGGTTTTCCCTGTAATAGGCAGTAAGAGCACCTAGAGCTTCGGAGAGCTTCTGTTCTACCATCTCAAAGCTCCCTGCTTGAGCAGTAATGGCATGATCATCGGCATAGATGAAACTCTCTGTCCCTTCTGGCAGTGGCTGGTCATTTGTGTAGATGTTGAACATGGATGGAGCAAGCACGCTCCCCTGAGGCAGGCCGTTCTTCTGTTTCCGCCATCTGCTTCTCTGGCCCTGGAACTCAACAAAGAAGCTCCTGTTTTGTAACAGGTTTCCTATGAGGCGGGTGAGGTGGTAGTCCTTTGTGATATTATACATTTTTCTCAGGAGGAGGCGGTGGTTCACAGTATCATAGGCTGCTGACAAGTCTATGAAGACAGCTCCTGTGATCTGCTGCCTTTCAAAGCCATCTTCTATGTGCTGAGTCAGGTTCAGCACTTGCGATGTGCAGCTTTTGCCTTTCCTGAAGCCAGCTTGCTGTGGGATCAGACAGGGGTCTATATTTTCCATAATTCTATGCAAAATAAGTCTCTCCAGAACTTTGTAGAGGTGGCACAACAGGGAGATTGGTCTGTAGCTTTTTGGGTCATTACGGTCTTTGCCTGGCTTCAAGATGGCGATGACTCTTGCTTTCCTCCAGATTTTGGGGATCTGACAGGATGCAGTGCAGTTGTTCATCAGCTCCAGCAGCCAGCGCCTTGCTTTTGGACCAAAGTTCTTGATTTGTTCCATCCGTAGATCATCCAGTCAGCTGCTTTGCCATTCTTACATTTGTTGAGAGCCATGTCCAATTCAGTAGATGTAAAGGTTCATGAAGGTTGTTGTTCTCAATCTCTTGTTTTCTGGCTATTGGTTTCTTTCCTACTTTGGTGGCAAAAGTTGGGTTTCCCATTCTTCAAGAGTTGGTGTGCTATCTGATCTGCCTTTATGTTGGCATGGGTATTAGTTTGTGAGGGGTCATTGCTCAGCCGTCTTAGCAACCTCTACGCCTTCTGGCTGCTCCTGCCCATGTCGACCTCTGTGATCAGCTTGATCCACTGTTCTTTCTTGGCTTCAGAGATGGAGGACACAATGCTCTGCGCTGCCTGAAGAGTCTGCTCACTAAATGGGTCTTCGTTGTGGAGCTTGTAATAGTTTTCCAACAAGGCAGCTGTTTCAGGAGTAATGCCCTAATTAGCAGCAACTTCTCGTGGCACATGGGGGGGGGCAATGCCAGCTACCTTGTAGAGTTTATCAACAGGTGTAGGTTTGAAACATCCTGTAATTATTCTGCATGTTTCATTCAATGCTATATTCACCTGCTTTGTGGGGGCAGACTTGTGCCAAACAGGGCAGGAATAATGTATTGTCAAAGGCTTTCATGGCTGGAATCACTGGGTTGTAGGTTTTTCGGGCGGTATGGCCACGTGCTAGAAGCATTCTCTCCTGACGTTTTGCCTGCATCTTTGGCAAGCATCACAGGCATACTCAGCAGTTGAATAAGACAAGGCCAGGGCCTTGCACCCTAACAATTGAAGACAAACCTGCCAATGGGAAATTTCTGTGGTGCCCTATGCACATCCTTTGTTTGCTCGCCCTGTATATATATACCCTTCCTATCCTGAGCTACATTCCCTCAAAAGCATACAAAAGCACGTGTGTCTGCGCCTGGAAAACTTTGGCGCAGGCGCAGGGGAGGCAGGTTTTCCTATTTCCCAAGCAGCGGAGGGCGGGGCTCTCTTCCCTCCTTCAGCTTGATTGGTGGGTGAGCGAAAGCCACCGCGTTGCTGTGGAGACGGGGACGCTGCCTTTGGCTTGCGACGAGGGTTTTGTAGGGAGGCAGCCGCGCGACCCGAAGGGGGCGGGGCTTGACTGCTTGGAGACTTTGCTGCTTGCAAGGCTGACCCTCTCGCTTGAGGATGATGAGTAGCAAGCCAGGGAAGAAGGAGTCGCGCAACAGCAGGACGCCCCCCGGTAGGAGGCTCCCCCAAAACGAGGGATAGGCTGCATCTACGCTGGAGAATTAATGCAGTGTGGCACCATTTGGACTGCAATGGCTCAGTGCTATGCGGTGCAGGGAGTTATAGTTTTGGAGGCACAAACACACCTTGGCAGACAAAGCTTAAGACTTTGCATAACCACAACTCCCAGGACTCCATAGCATTGAGCCATGGGAGTTAAAGTGCAGTAGTGTCAAACTGCATTAACTCTGCAGTATAGATGAACCCATGTCCTATCTAAAGATGACACTCAATTCCTCTCCCCAGTCTCCTTGACTGAGAATCATTGATGCAGATTGGGACCCCATCTACACTGCCCTATCATGCAACTGCATGATATGGCAGTGTAGCTGGGGCCTGGGAGGAGATAGGCATTTGTGATTCACATGGATATGTGTCCAGTACTGCATTTCCTACCTGTATTATAAACCATGTCTGTGTATCTAGTGGGAATAAGGGAAGTGTGTGTCCCAAACACTCCTCTCAAGTTGCACAAAGTATCTGAATGGCAGGACTACATTTAGACTGAGGCCTGGATGTTAAATATTAAAAGTTCCTGAAAGGGCCACCTGTTTGAATATATTATTTGTGCATCTCAAAACATATCTATAACTAGTTTAAGATCTAGTCAGGGGACGCTGTGGCTTTTAACTTTCAATATGTTTTGATGGTTTTAGACTGATTTTTAGTGTTATTTGTGTTTAATTCTGTTAATATTTGTATGTTTTCAATTGTATACCAGTGCTTCTATGTGAAGCCGCTTTGAGTCCCCTTTTGGGGAGATAAAGCGGAGAATAAATAAATATAATAATAATAAGTTCTGAGAATGCTATGAGGCTTTCACAATACAGCTTCTGACTACAGTCAGATTACTTGTTTTATATATCTTTGCTTATGACCTTTAAAAAGATAAGCCTAATTCCCATTGAAAACCAATTGTAGAATTGGAAGGGATCCTAGGCCATCTAGTCCAATCCCCAGAAATCTGAGAAAACCCACAGAAGGCTTGTTTTAAAACCCACAATGAAGGAAAACCCATCACCTTCTCGAACAGTCAGTTCCATGTTCAACAGCTCTATCTCCAGGGAGATCTCAGGCCCCTTCCACAAAGCTGAATACAATTCCACATTATCTGCTTTGAACTGGAATATATGGCAGTGTGGATTCAGATAACCCAGTTCAAAGCAGATATTGTGGCATTTCTGCCTTGATATTCCAGGATATAGGGCTGTGTGGAAGGGCCCTTAGTCATATTTTCTCTTCTTATGAATTGAATCCATGGGTTAGGTCTTTCCTCTGGAACAAGAACCAACAAGCTTAAAGCAGCTTCCATCTGAATGCCCTGCAGAGGTGGAGGACCCATTAAGTTGGTCCGCCCCAGGAGGCTTATGGATCCGGATGGATTCCTGATGGCTCTTGGGGAGTTTCCCGCCGCCTCGGTAGGTGATCCTGTCGAGGCCCTGGTCACTCTCTGGAATGGGGAGATGACTAGGGCAATTGACACGATCGCTCCGGAACGTCCCCTCTCAAGTAGCCGAGCTAAACCAGCTCCCTGGTTCACCGAGGAGCTGGCAGCGATGAAGCGAAGGAAGAGGGAACTAGAGAGTGTGTGGCGTTCGGATCCGAGTGAGCCAAATCGAACACGGTTTGTGTCCTTTTTAAGGGCATATGCCGCGGCAATAAAAGCCGCAAAGAAGGCCTTCTTTGCGGCCACTATTGCGTCTGCAAAGAACCGTCCGGCTGAGCTGTTCCGAATTGTCAGAGGCCTTTTAAATCCCACCACTCAAGGTGGGAACCCTGACGATTCGACTTCTCGCTGTGAAGCTTTTGCTCAGTTCTTTACAGACAAAGTCGCTTTGATCCGTTCTGGTCTGGATACCATGTTAATGGCAGTCTCTGAGGATGTAACACGAGCACCTGCTTGTCCAGTTTTGATGGATTCATTTCAATTGGTGAAACCCGAGGATGTGGACAAGATACTTGGAGGAATGAGGCCAACCACATGCATCCTGGACCCCTGCCCATCCTGGCTTCTAAAGGAGGCCAGAGGGGGATTGGCGGAGTGGGTTAAGGTGGTGGTTAATGCTTCCCTTCGGGAAGGCAAGATTCCAGCGAGCTTAAAACAAGCTATAATAAAACCGCTGTTGAAGAAACCATCACTGGACCCCACTAAATTCGACAACTATCGGCCAGTTTCCAATCTCCCCTTCTTGGGCAAAGTCTTGGAACGTGTGGTGGCCTCACAACTCCAGGTATTCTTGGTAGACACTGATTATCTGGATCCGGCACAGTCTGGCTTTAGGCCGGGACATGGTACCGAGACAGCCTTGGTCGCCTTAGTGGATGATCTGCGCCGGGAGCTCGACAGGGGGAGTGTGTCCCTGTTGGTGCTGCTGGACCTCTCAGCGGCCTTCGATACCGTCGACCACGGTATCCTTCTGGGACGCCTCGCGGGGATGGGTCTTGGAGGTACTGTTTTGCAGTGGCTCCGGTCATTCCTGGAGGGTCGATCTCAGAAGGTGTTGTTGGGGGACACCTGTTCAACCCCACAACCATTGTCTTGTGGGGTTCCTCGGGGCTCAATATTGTCTCCCATGTTGTTTAACATCTACATGAAGCCGCTGGGGGAGATCATCCGGAGTTTCGGGGTACGGTGTCATCTGTACGCGGATGATGTCCAACTCTGTCACTCCTTTCCACCTGCTACTAAGGAGGCTGTCCAGGTCCTGAACCGGTGCTTGGCCGCTGTGACGGTCTGGATGAGGGCGAACAAATTGAAATTGAATCCAGACAAGACAGAGGTCCTCCTGGTCAGTCGCAAGGCCGAACAGGGCATAGGGTTACAGCCTGTGTTGGATGGGGCCGCACTCCCCCTGAAGACGCAGGTTCGCAGCTTGGGTGTGACCCTGGACTCATCGCTGAGCCTGGAACCCCAGGTTTCGGCGGTGACCAAGGGAGCATTTGCACAGCTAAAGCTTGTGCGCCAGCTGCGCCCGTACCTTGGGAAGTCTGACTTGGCCACGGTAGTCCACGCTCTGGTTACATCCCGTTTAGACTACTGCAACGCTCTCTACGTGGGGTTGCCTTTGAAGACAGCTCGGAAGCTCCAACTAGTCCAACGATCGGCAGCCATGATTTTAACAGGAGCGGAGCGCAGGGAGCATACAACCCCCCTGTTGCGCCAACTCCACTGGCTACCGATCTGCTACCGGGCTGAATTCAAAGTGCTGGCGTTGGCCTTTAAAGCCCTAAACGGTTCCGGCCCAAGCTACCTATCTGACCGCATCTCTGCCTATGAACCCACCAGGACTTTGAGATCTTCCGGGGAGACCCTGCTCTCGATCCCGCCTGCTTCTCAAGCTCGGCTGGCGGGGACGAGAGATAGGGCCTTCTCGGTGGTGGCTCCTCGGCTGTGGAACGCCCTTCCTACGGACATTAGACTAGCACCATCTCTAATGGTATTCCGCAAAAAGGTGAAGACCTGGATGTTTGTGCAGGCGTTTGAGTAATTTAGTGCAATCTGGTAATGGAATATAGGAATGGAACAATGGACGACGAACCTGGACTACACTTGGATGATGAGAAGATTGGGTACAGTTGTTTTTCATAATAATTGTGGATTGTAATTGCTTATTGGTAATTTATGGATAATGTGTTAAGTCAATTGTTATATGTTGTATGGAACCACTGCTGTTTCTACTGTTTTTACTGTTTGTGAACCGCTGTGAGTCGCCTTCGGGCTTGAGATACAGCGGTATATAAGCAAAGTAAATAAAATAAATAAATAAATAAAATAAAGAGGTCTATTGAAACACATTTTAGAATTCTCTTAGCCAAGTATACCTGGCTTCCCAAATGGTTCTTCGTCTTGGGCCCCTTTCACAAAATTGAATAAAATCCTACATTATCTGCTTTGAACTGGGATATATGGCAGTGTGGACTCAGATAATCCAGTTCAAAGCAGATATTGTGGATTATTCTCCCTTTTTTATGTGTCAGAAGGGACTTGAGAAACTGCAAGTTACTTCTGGTGTGAGAGAATTGGCCATCTGCAGGGATGTTGCCCTGGGGACGGCCAGATGATTGATGTTTTACCATTCTATGGGAGGCTTCTCTCATGACCCTGCATGAGATGCTAGCGTTCAACAGACGGGAGTTTACCCTGCTCCCTGGATTTAAACTGCCAACCTTTCGGTCAACCAATCCTAGCAGCACAAGGGTTTAACCCACTGTACTACCGGGGGCTCCTATTGTGCCTTGATATTCTGGGTTGATACTCTGGATTATATGGGTAGGTGAAAAGGCCCCTGGTTTCCTCCGAACACCATCCAGGTCATTGCATTTCATTGAAAGGGAATGAAATGTTCCACCTCCTGGATTGGTATAGCTTTAGACTCTATTAGGGGAACAAGGGTATTTATAGAGCCATGGTTTGGCCAAGCCACACAATTTTACCCCCCTCAAGCTTCCTCCCAGGGAGCATAGGATTGTTGTATTCATTGTTTTGGAACTGGTTTATAAAAAAGGAAGTGGTTGTGTTTCAGAAAAGAAAAGGATAAAGACACTTGAGGTGCCTTCCTGCCCGGTGCAAGAGGAGCCAGAGCCTGTGAGCAGTGTCCTGCAAGGGGATGAAATCCAAGCTTTAGCCATAAAATTAGAAGACTTAGCAAAGGTAGGCATTACACTTTGTTACTCTCAGATTTACTGACCAGAAAATTCAAGATATGCCAGGACATAAAAACTGTGGACCTTCATACGTTGCTTTATTTTCAATAAATAAATAAATAAATAAGTATTCAAAATCTACACAATATATCTTGTTTTCCCAAAACATTAAGATTTTGAAGGCTGTGTTTTGAGAGGGAGAGCCAGTGTGGCATAGTATTTTGGGTGTTGGACTGGGATCCTGGAGTCTTAGTTTCAGTATGGAAACTCAGTGGGTAAACCTCAGAGGAAGGCAAAGGAAATCCGCTCTGAACAGTCTTATAAAGAAAACACCATGATAGGTTTATCTTAGGGTCTCCATAAGTTGGAAATGTGTTGCATGCATGCAACCCTCACAGACACTCTTAGTTTGACACATTTTAGGATTGTATGAACATTTCCATATTCCAGATTGGAGTAACTGGTGCTAAATACTGTGATCATTACTAGGTCCATTTCGTAAATACTGAGTATAAGTGAATGTTTTGCTTATCAACATATTCATGAAGGGAAACATAAATACTGGGTTGTTTGACCATTTGAAGAAGTTCATTAGTTTCTGTTATTATTCGGATAATGAGAAGAACCATTTTATGTATAATTCCATTGGTAAGTTGGCTTGACAGCAGTTAACAACAATATTCATTTTGGATTGTTTCATCGGTGAGTTTTCATGATAAAAATTATTGATAACAGTATAAAGGTGAAGGTTTAAGGCCACCATAAATCTCAGTCAACTTGTAGTGTCAAACTAAAATGTGTCAGGCTAAGGCCTGATGAGTTAACAACAGCAGCAATATTCTGTTTTGATAGCTTCGCACAGCACGTCTTCCTCAAGAGGAGAAAGAGAAATCTCATGTAACGAAGAAGTTCCTTGTTCGCAGATCCAGGCCTCAGGAGGTTAAGAAGAAAGCACAATTCCTGGTTGCTTATCCAACTCTCTCAGATGAGTCCAAGAAAACACTGCATTATTCTGGTAAAGTTACCTCCAGCTTGTTTTGTTAGCTAGTATGGTTTCAATATTCTATACTTTTCTGTGCCAAAGCTTTCATTTTTCTAAATAGGAATCCTGTTTCAAGTTTCTTGAAGTTTTGCTTTAATTGATGTGCTCTATAATTTCCTGTTTTCATTGTTTTCTCCAGGTATAGAAGGACCAGTAATTGACAGCTATGGACATATCCTTCCACACACGATCTTAGGAACTCTCCAGGAATTCAAAGAAGAAGCTTTAAGAAGGGGACACTCCCAGGTGGGTTTTACCTGCTGTGTGACATATTGTTTTATAGTGAAACTAGCAGAAACAGTCAAATAATCCCACTAGTGGAATATATGACTTTGCAACAATGTAATTATTTCTATTATAGTGTTATGTTATAATGATAGTGTTATGAATTTTTTAAAAAAAGTGTCTCACATTTTGTTTTCTGTAGGTGATACCTACACTGTGCCACATCGTTTTTGGACAGCGTTAGGCAGAAATTACATGTGGTCACATAACAACAAGAATGCCTTTTTCACATTACCCCCATTCTGGCACTATGGATGTAGTAATTGAATGAATGAATGAATGAATAGAATAGAATAAATACAATTTTAATACTGGTGGTATTTGTTGCGGTTTGTTAGTTTATATTGAATCTACACAGCAGTCCTCCCAGCTCCAGATCCCAAGTTGATTTGCACAGAGTATAAAGGAAAATGTCTTTACTCTGGAGTAGTTAATACATGTAGCTTTATAAAGAAAAATACAGTAGCCTTGAAAACACATTGTCCACATTGTCCATCGCAGAAGGAAAAAAAACTTACAATGCATTAATCTGCTTCTTTCCAGCAAACCTTGTAGCATAGTTCCATCTCTGATTACTTCATTTCACCCACTACCTGCATCAAGAAATCTTCACCTGATATACATCCTAATCAGGGAGTGGTTCTTCCTCAACACACATATAAGCAAGAGATGATTCTTGTCAAGACTTACAAAATCATATACTGTAACACTCCTCCTTGTGTGTAGAGGAAAACACAATACATAATACAATTACATGGTACACTCACAAATTCCCAAATCATTCAAAACATTCTGATGTTTCTGTACACTCAGTGGCTTAGTTAGTACATCAGCTAGATTTAGATTTGTATTACAATATACTATATCAATTTCACCATTTTTCACTGCATCCCTTACACAACTGTACTTAATATCTACATGCTTGCTTCTTTGTTTTACTCTGGCCTGTGTTGCCATTGTGATGCATGTCTGATTATCCTCATATATTGTTGTTGGATCTTCAACAGGTATTTGCAAGTCTTTAAGCAGTTGTTTGATTACACAAATCTCTGTATATGCTAAGCTAAGTGCACCAAACTCAGCCTCACTGGAACTTAAAGCTACATAACTCTGCTTCTTCGACTTCCAGTCAATTACAGCATTAGAAAACTTAACTAAAACCCCTGTTGTTGATTTTCTATCAGTACAGTTGCCGAAATCACTGTCTGTATATACCTGCAAGGATAGCGAATCATCTGGACTTAATGCCAAACAAAAATCTTGTGTTTGCTTTAAATATCTTGCCACCCTCTTAAGTCCATTCCATGCAGCAATGGTTGGGTTGCTTGCATATCTGCTTAGAAAATTCACAGCAAATGCAATGTCTGCTCTGGTGTAATTACA